TGTTAGCTCACTTGGGAGAGCATGGTGCTGGTATCACCAAAGTCACAGGTTTGAATCCCCATACTCGCCTGCCACCAAAAGTGCCTTAGATGAGGGACAACAGGTTCATTCCTTGAGGTTTGGGAAAATTCCTATAGAGTTGTCTTTTAGTCACTGTTTTCTTTTTTCTTTTCTTAATCACAGTAAGAAAGAAAACGCTGGTTTGGTAGCAAATCATTGCTAATCACTGCATTAATCAAAACTGGTGTTTACCCAAAAGACTTAGAAATCAGGGGTCATAAAACCCCATATTTATGCACATCTGGGTGGATATTAGCCCCTTTGCATAAGGAAGATTTAAATTTTAGGAAAAGAAGATATGTTGCCTTTTTCAAAATAGTCTTTCAATGCCTACATTATACTGTCAAATATTTCTACATTGTTTCCAAATACACAAGATTGTTTAAGAACGTATTTTAACTCTGTTCAACCCTTTTTTACTTCCACATTTGAGTACTTGTTCAAATTTTTAATAATTTGTACATTGTTCATTATCAAATGCCTTGGGATTATATTTAAACACTTTTGCTTTATAATCCATTAGACTTTCCTGTATAGAGTTGTTCAAAAAACAGCAAAGCCTTCATCTGACAAGTATGGGCTCCTGAACTGTTGACTGCACATAACCTGTACTCAGGCAGCTCGTTAGCCTGCTACCACGCAATGGGTCCTGGTCTTTGCCTATGATTATTTGACACTGTTTGAAGAGCAACAAGGGTGTCATAAGCAGAAAGGTGATAGACCCTTCAGTCTATCTTTCCACCTGTGCGACAAGACACCCAGGAGGTGTTTTCAAACGTGTGATTTAAAGGCTGAGAAGCGTGGTTGCTAGAGGGCAGATGCAGTAGGAAAACACAAAGTCTCTGTCCTGCTGCCCCACAGAGAAACTGCTATTTATGATCATTAAAATGACCCACAGTGGAGCTGAGGTTCCCATGGGGAGCTAAGGAGCACCTGCTCAGAATCACCTCCTGAGCCTGTTAAAAGTAAAGGTTCCGGGGCCACACCCCAGACCTACTGATGGAACATCTGTGGGGTTGGCACCATGGAATCAGCCTTTTCAGCAAGCTCCCCGGTGCTTCTGATGCTCACTGAAATTTGGCTTCTACTAATTAAAGGGCAAACCTGACAGACCTGACAAGACACCTGCTTCAAATGGTGAACAAGAGCTGCTTTGGGGCATCTGGGAGGTGCAGGGTCTGCCTCCCCCAGCTGCTCCAGTACTTTAGCTGATTATCCAGACCTTGTGAAACATGCCAGCAGCCATGTACTCTTTCTTAGAAACAAACTGATGTGGAAAACAGGGATCTATCGTAATTTTTGGCATTTCCTGATTCTATCTCAAAATCTTAGGTGAAAAGTCTACTTTCGTTTTAGCAGAAAGAACTTCAGTTTAGAGGAAGGAAATGAAGTAAAGACCTGTGTCTTTAAATGAACGAATGAACAAATGACTTCCAATGACAATATCTCATAATTCTATCAAAGTCTGAGTGTGAGTGCACCTAAATGCAAAGGGCTGCGTAGATGATCTCTTACTGACTTCTTATTCCTAATATCTATGAGTCTATGTTAATTATTCAGGAATGTATTAATGTGTTACTTAGTTACTGATGTAATTAAGTAAGGTCCGGTGGGGGGGGGGCTGATAGTCAGCCTCAGCCCACCCAGTCCTCTTACCAGGTTCTTGACTCTGCTGCAGAAAAGAATTCAAGAACAGAGTCACAGTAGAAAATGAGAACAAGTTCAATATAATAGATAAGAAATACAGGTTCCACAGAGAATGCAGCCTAGCTCCAGAGACTGAGCAGGGCTCACACCAAGTTTAACAGAAAAGCAAGAAATACATACTTAAAGTTTAGTACAGAGTGCAAGCTGGCTCAAGAGAGTGAGCAGCTGCTTACTGATAAGTAACTTTGATATGAAAAGAAATACATACCCCACAGGCAGAGTGTGGGCTGGCTTCAAGAGAGTCAGCAACAGCCCTGCCTTCTGCTGGGATTCAGCTTTTACAGTTTTGCTACCTAATGAATATTCAATGTTTGTATGAATATTCAATCATAGTTTCACTACCGAATGAATATTCAGTTAAGGGGGTTGTTCCCAGTTCTGTAACAGTCTTTTTTTTTTTTCTGTCTTTTTTGTGACCAGTAAGGGGATCGCAACCCTTGGCTTGGTGTCGCCTGCACTGCGCTCAGCCAGTGAGCGCACCACCGGCCATCCCTATATAGGATCCGAACCCATGGCGGAAGCTCCGCTGCACTCCCAGCACTGCACTCTCCCCAGTGCGCCACGGGCCGGCCCCTGTAACAGTCTTAAACATGCTCAGTTGGTCCCTTCTTGGAGCATGTTCATTGGTCACATGCACCAGGTATATTCAAGGATGTTCTGTGCTCTCTACTGAGCATGCCCAGCCACTGGATTTGCATAAGCCAGCCCCTTGTGGTCTCATTTTCCCTGTGTTGATGCTGAAAATAGGTCTAACTGGCAACAATAGCTTTCCTGTAGGGCTGGACACAGAGGAAGGGCCTGACACCTCAAGGATCAGCTTGAAACCCAGAGGTGTGTGCTGAAACCCAAGCCCAGGAAAACTGAGCAGCTCCTATATCATTACTATGGGACAAGACGTAGAAATAAGAAGGAAACAATCATGCCTGATTTAAATAATAGCCCCCCAAACAAACTTTTTCTTCAAGTATAAAAATAATTCAAGTAATTCTAATTTTGTCAAATGATTTATGTATTTTGTATTCTAAAGTTTCATGGTATTCAGCTGGGTGTTTCAAGAGCCATAACAAAAGGAGGCAGGCTGTGAAATGTCATTATTTCACTTTCCCAAATGGAAGAAAACAGAGGCGCTGAAGGGCTGACAGGCAGGTCAGAAACATGCTAAAATCAGCAGGTTAAGAACAATAAACCTGTAAAGCTAAGTGACTACACCAGTCGTCAGGTTGAGGCAATAGCTACACTAATTGTATGGCTAGGCAAATCATAACTAAAGCCAAAACATTTCATAGTTATACTAACTTTCTATTTGTGTTGTCAGGGCTGGGGCTCAAACCCTTCAAACCCATTGTACAGACTGGGTCACAGACCGCTCACATGCCAGGCTGGGTCACCAGATCCCTCACATGGCAGGATGGGTCACCTGACCCCTCACACGCAGGCCCACACTAGATAATTGGGAAAGATCCAAGCGAACCATTGGCAGACAACACGAGCTCAATTCTCAGTGGTGGCAGCAGCGGTGGCAGCATTCTCAGGGCATCCTGGGAGCACTGGCAGCAGCGGCAGCAGCCCCTGCCACTGCTTCCAGCAGCAGTAGCGGCCTCCCCTTGGGCATCCCAGGGACAGAGGGGCACCATGGATCAGAGCCATTCGTCCTTTATACTCAAGTCTGATAACCCAGGGCACCTGGGCACATATGCACAGTTACATTAGACAACCAAGGAACACCGGGGCACATGTGCATATTCACATCAAATGCTCGGCAAGATTCTGAACATCTGAGGGGCCCTGACCATTTTCCTATATTTTCCCAACAAAACCCAAGACCAGTTACAGCAGGCCTGGTGAGTCCGGCTAGCACCAA